AGCTGGAGATAATATGCATGCAAAGAGACACTAACAATCGAAATCATGAATAAAAAGTAGTAAAACAACATTATCTCTTCCATGCCACAGAAACACAGTTTCACCTTTCCGCTGTGGATCACAGTGCGACGGTAGCAGAAATGATAAAGGTGAACAGCATAACCACCAAAGTTTCCTCAGGACGTGTGGACGTGTTGGCATCTGAACCTAGAGGTGAGAAAAAAACAAAACAAAGCAACAATTGCAGGTCACATATCACGAAATGCTCTTAATGTGACGTACAGATATCCAGCAAGCCGTGTTTGCAGCGTATCCACCTTTTATTTGTACAGTTTTTAAGGCGGTCGCTGTCTTCCTCGAAGCAGTGTTTTGCGCCTCGCACTTGAGCGTGACCGATTTAAGCGGCTCATCCACGGACATCTCAATCACATTGCCCCTCACGGTCTGACCGTCCACGGACGACACGTAGCGACACGAAGGCCGACATTCAGCAGCACACTCGAATTTATACTCTTCCGCAATTTCTATAACGTCTGGGCCTTTGATCTGGACCTGTGTTGGACCGGCTGAAAGACAGATAGTGAGGACAGATCACTACCACAGATCATGAACGGAACTTAATCAAAAATTGCAAACGTGACAGATCACTCTATGGTGTAATGTCTTTTCTAAAGTGCAAACCAGGAAACCCAGAGATTCTGCAATTACTAACCAACATTAGCATAATAATTTAATGCTAATTTAAGAAGCCAAATCGAAAGGCTTATGTTATTCTTATTGTTCAGATTGTCGAAGCAGAATAAAAGTAACACAATTAGCTATCGGGTGAGGACTGAAAAGAATTATTACTTTACTGATTCACATGGTTAGTTTTGTGTGTAAGCATTTTTAAGCTAAGCTAGCTTTAATTTAGCTAAACTGGCAAACTGGTCGCCCAGTTAATTCAGCCATTTTGAGACATGGACGAGATGGTTGAGATTACTGTTGTGTTTTATATACAAAATATTAAGCTTTAGCTAACTAGCTTAGCTTAGCAAAAAGCCTTGAAACGGGAGAAATAAGTGCCATCTTCTATCACCTTATCGTGAAATGATCCTGAAATTGTCCCGCACGTAAAGCGAAGTGCTGTAAAATATTTACACAATAGGTCGTCATTTGCATACTTCCATTTTTGTAGGGTATTAAACAAGAAATATAGCATGCTAGTTAGCTAGCTTTAGCGGTGCTAGCAAGCTAGAATAGAGAAGAAAAGATCCATCCGATTGTTGATTCGTAACAAACAGATAAAGTTCGCTTTGTATTTACGGACATGAATGTAGTACCCAGGATCTTCTCTAACTCCTGCTGAGAAAGTAAAGTGCACTTCCCACAAACGTCAAACTATTCCTATACTTTATACTGGAAGCTAGCATCAACATAGCTAGGAATCTGGGTAAGAAAGTCAAACGATTTCCTGAAAATGTCAAACATCTTTGTCTGTAGTGCTTTAAACTGGAAGCTAATATTAAGAAGTTGGGCTGTAGCGCGGAGTCTGGGCCTATCGTCAGTAAAACAATTTGTGAAGGTGTTCCCTTCCAGTTTGGCATCTTTCACCTTACTGATAAATTTAGCAAAACTCTTGACTTACTCATCACACCTATGTTTCGGGTAGCACTGACAAACAGCCCAGAAACGCTATTGATGGCCTTGCAGGTGAGAGATTTGGAGTCGTCCATCTCCTGGGGAGTGACGGAAATGACGTTGCCTTGACCACGAATCCACGGGCCTCTATCGGCCCTCCAGGTGTAATTACAAGATGGCCGACAGTAGGCGTGGCAGCTGTAGGTGTGGCTCACTGTGCGATTCATCAGATCGGGGCCTGAGATGGAGACGTTGGCAGGTCCAGCTAAGGTGAGAGAGACAAATATGAGTCATTCGTAGGCCTCATACGAGAATCACTCAACCAGCTGCTTCTAGTCTTTGAACACTTCATACCTAACACCTGGATTTTCTTTGTTGTCGTAGCATTCCCCATCCCTTGGACATCATATGCGACTGTACATGTCACTGTCAAAGCCTCCACCCAGTGGTCGACCGTGAAGGTGAGCTCGTTGCCCTGACCCTGGGCTGTCTGTCCATCCAGAGACATGGAGTAGGTACACGTAGCGCAGTTGGAACCACATTCAACGCTGCTTGGCACACCCACGGTCACGTAGCTCGGACCGATGATTTCTACCGTCAAGCCTTCTGAAAATGTCACAACATACAGTACGCAGCAGAAGTTAGTACACCATTGGGCAATATCACGTAAATGCCAAATGACTCAAAGTTAGGTCATCTTACAGTAACTGCATCACTTCTACATTTAACAATAGGGTGTTTGCGCATGTGTGAAGTTAGGAACTAGGAGCTTTTTTAAATACTTTGTGTATCTGCCTTTATTTTTAATGTTGGAATCAATCATCTGTACCAATTTTTTCCCAATGCTCTTTGCTGTAGGGGTTGTGTTTCTCTGCCTTTCTCTTTAAAATACCCAAAAGATGTTCTATTCGATGGAAGTCAGGCAACAAATTTCTTCTACTTTAGAAACTATGTTGTGAGTTTTGCTTTCGATCATTATTGTTTTAAAGTATTTCACTTCCACAGACTGGGAGTCATCTTGTCTGCTCGAATTTTGGTTTATCCACAGACGTTCATGATTCCATCCATCTGTTTGACTGTCAGGACTATGCCTTCACTGTGGTAGTCCTGCCAACATGCTGGACTCCATCTCAGCTAAATAAATGTATCTCTGCTTCATTTGACAAAAGAACGTTCTCCCAATATTGATCCGACTTCTGTTCATGTTCTCTTTTTTTTCCCTGCAAAGTTTCATCTTGAACTGTTTCGTACTGAAGAACATCCAAGAAGAACAAGTTAGGGTGTTCTTCTTGGATGCCGCCCATGCTCCGTCCTTCAGCTTCCATCGATGACCATTGTGCTAAGTCTGACGCACTTTGTTTTCTTTGCAGTAGATTGTGCAATTAGCACACTCCATGGCGTCATTTTAGGTGGATGATCGATGTTGCTCTGATTAGTGATACTAAGGCTTGTTCTATACCTCGCCATTACTGTTCCAACTGAGTATCCACAGATTTTTAGTTGGTATCAGATCATCCTGTATGCCTCTTTTTGAAGTCGTACAATCTGGTTGTAAACTCCTCTGGCAGTTGTTTTCCACATGGAGCCATGATGCAGACATGCAGAAAGACAAAGCTCGTAGGTCCAAAATGCGGAAGTTCTGCTGTTCACACCTTAATTTATAACCACGTTCATGCAGTAAGGTGTACTGAGTTTAGCTTCATTGATCACAGGTTTTCTAACTTGTGTGTCAGTCGTCAACGGTGCGTTAAAGTTTGCGGCAATGAGTTTCTACTTTGGGGCCTGTACTTTCAATACAGTCTTTCTAGCATATCTGTTGCTTATAAGAGGAAACACTTGCCAACTTACAAACAATGCAAATATTGAGAGGTGGTACAGTTTTAAACCATTTGCACAAGGGCGTTCTCACTTCCGTCATTTACTGTAAATACCAGCATAACTTACAGACATGAATGTTCATGTTTCTATACAGTAACTTCACCAACATAGTCGAGACGGTTTAACAATTCTGAAGATTATTTTCTTGACTAAATGGAAAATGACTTACTGTTCTGTGGTGCAGTCTGCGCTCCATGTGAGGACAGTGCTGGCTGAAGGCCTAACAGGCAGTGAAAACATACGTACATCAATATGTAGAGTTATGGGTTAAAGTAAAGAAAAAGTAGGTCCAAATGAAAGTCTGTTGTCTACCATATCTTTATTGTTGCTTTTTTTTTGTCTTCATCATGCTAGATATGGTTTGTATGTACAATTGGAAGTGGTGGCTAACGACTTCAAGAGCAGTTAACGAATAAAATACAAAGACAAGAAGAATAAAGTAACTTGGAATGGAAAAACTCAGGTATAGTACAGCAAATATGTACTGTAGCTCATGTAAATTAAATAAAGGGTTTGCCATGTAAAAGCAGCTCTCAGTACACTATGACAAAGGACCACGTTATCTCAGCTACATTTCGACTCCCTCCTCTGGTGTTTTTGTTAAAATAAAATATCCTTGCGTTACCTGTCAGAAACAACAGCAACAGAAGTCTGCTGGGAGCTGATTGTCCTCCGTTTTGTTTAGATGTGTAGATATTATCCATTGTCCTGTAAGAAACTGAAGCTCACGGCCACCAGGAAATACTCGACTGACGCAGCGCCGTTGGTCAGTCAACATGAGCAGGCAAACAGCTCTTATCAGAGAGAGCTGAATAGAAATTTGCCTTCTTAGTCACTAATGAAAAATCTATTCCTTTTAATTGATGGCGGACTACGACCCACGGCGGTTCTAAAGGAGTCTCACTCCAAGTTGCAGACTTTCTTCAGCTGCAAAATGAGCTGATTTAGATGTACTGACTCGCCAATCTAATTGCTGCAGGTCAATTCTCCAGTAGCTCAAGAGTGGAGATCAGCAGCGCTTCGGGCTTCAGGCTGTGAGCCAGCCTGAGGGAGTGTTTCATAGATTGTAGGATGTTGTAATGTGTTTGGAGACTGTCCCAAAAAAGGAAATGTCCCAAGTCTGATCACTGTAAAAGGGATTGTGTCTCAAACAAATTGGAAACCACACTTGCATGCAGTCAGATGTCAGCTGGCATCATTACAGAGCTGGATAAAAACAGCAGCTAGTTTGAATAAAGGGTGAAATGCTCCTTTCTACTGACCCGCAGTCACGTGAAAAGAACGTCTTTGTGGTTGACACGCTGCCTGTTTTATTATCCACTTCTTCTCTTTAAGCAGCCTCACCCTTAGTTCCAGAAATAAATCCATAATCAGGACAAATGATCAAAATGCAAACAGATAAAAAAAAGCTGCTTTCAAGGAAGCAGTAGCAGTAGAATTGAATTATCTTGTAAATGAATGATTAATGACTAAATGATCTGACACACACACACAACTGAACAAGTCACATTTATTGAACGCAAAAAACTAATAATAGCCATTAATGCTACACAAATACAAAAAGAAAGGAACATTTATGGGTGCAGGTGGGACTATGTACAAGTTTGGTGTTTCAGAACATGTGTGAATGCTGTGTGGAGGTGTAGTGATGTTAAAGTGACGTCTCTCTGGAGTCCCTGGACGGCCTGAAGGTCAGGATCTCTGTGAAAGTGTGACCTGTGAAAACACAAAAACACAGGATGATGCATTAACTACTGCAGCGTAGATTCAAGTTCAACACATTCATAGAGCCTCTAATGTAACTGCTTCCTGTTTCTGATCATGTTGTCTATGTAGAACATGGTAGCTTTTGTGTACTATTAGATTTAAAAGAACTACCAAGTAAAATTAGACCTTTAGTGACATCCGTTGGCAAACAGCAGGTACTGTCACTACACAGAGTTTAACCCAAAGACTGTGTAGCTCCAAAGCTCGCCAGGGGGTTTGAAAAATGTCCCATCCATCCATTATCTATACACCACTTAATCCTCACTGGGGTCATGGGGGGCTGGAGTCTATCCCAGCTGACTCAGGGTGAAGGCAGGTTCACCTGGACAGGTAACCAGTCTATCACAGGGCTACACTTAGAGACAGACAACCAAGCACACTCACATTCACACCTACGGACAATTTAGAATCACCAATTAACCTCAACATGTTTTTAGACTGTGTGGGAGGAAGCCGGAGAACCCGGAGAGAACCCACGCTGCACGGGGAGAACATGGAGACTCCACCGGGACACGAACCGGTGACGTTCTTGCTACGAGGCAACAGTGCTACCAACTGCGCCACCTTTTGGAAAGCGTGTTATATTTTAAAAGCCTCCACAATTACACCATTTATCAGTGTTAGAAATGGTAAAAACTGAAAAAAAAAGCCTCATATTTTCAACTTTCTGATCGTTATTGAAGTGCTCATATGTGACATGCAGTTCATCAGAAAAATTAAACGAAATCTCAGCTCAAAGTTGTGATGTAAATTGCATTTTTGTTTCTTCTTTTTTATGTTTTACAGCCTTAAAACTGTCTCATTCTCATGCTATGACTAAATTATTGTATGTTATCAATAAAACACAGAGCAAACAACATGATATCCTCATATATAAGTCATCAGCTGTCCCGTTCTCTAACTATCATCTCAGTTAACCATCATGCTACATGTTCAAACTTTACCCTCTGTTAATATTAAAGTATTGATTAATGCAGCTTTAAACCCGACTTATCCTCCTCCTCTCTTACGTTTCCACTGGTCCAGCGGCAGGTCGGTGTTGTCCATGGTCTGGTCATACGGCAGCGCCTCCGTCTCCTCCTCGACGTCTCTGAACTCGCTGAAGAACGGCAGCTCGAGGGCCTCGGAGGCGCTGACCCGCCGCTCAGGGTCCAGCAGCAGCATCTTCTCCAGGACACACACAGCTGCAGTGCAGAGAGACACGTCAGAGTCAACGTGGTAGGAGTTTAACCAAATAAATACAATTCATATTTAATAAATAGAAATGTTTTTAAATTAAATTCAACCAAATAAATGTAATGTATTATTATTATTGCAAATTCTTATTCAGATTAAATATTAAATAAAAGAAATAATACATAAATATCATATAAAATAAATACTGTACATTTATTAATATCAACATGGTAAGATTTTAACTAAACCCACAGGTGGATAAACAGATGTCTTTACTTGATGTCTTTACCGTTGACGCTGGCTTTGGAGAAAATGGTGTGCAAATCTTTTTTTGGCACTTTTGGTAGACTCCGGATGTAGTTTTTGGCCTGTTGGCAGAAAAAGTGGGGAAAGAGGTTGGTGGGTTGTTGAACATATTAGCATGGACGATGTTTTCTTCTAACACCGGCTTTTTTTTTGTTTGATAATGTAACAGTAAAAAGTGTGGACACTAAAAACTCTTCTGTGACATATGATAAAAGTGTCGCTGCACATTTAACACCTTGTTCTACCTAAAAAGTGTGACTTGAGTATCAAACACTTGATCACTACAGGAATTAAAACATGCAAAAAGCAGAGAAAAGTCCCTCATTCAGTCAGTCAGTCACAATGGATTCTAAGTGGTTTGAGAAATTTCTATACAATCAATAATCTCCTCAATCTCTCAAGAATACGGTTACTAACTACTGGATTGTATTCTAGCAGCTATGAATCCAAACTGACCACAGCTGCTGTTCTCTTTGAGGGAACCACGGACGTTTTACGTTCAACTTTACGGCCGGTCAGTGTTTCGTACTCAAAGGTCAGACTGTGAGTTCAACTGTAACTCCAGGTTACCACTTACATCTTGGCTCTGCAGTTTCACAACAAAGTCAGCAGTCGGAGTTCCTGTAATCTTCATGATCTCTCTCAGCTGATCCAGGTCTGACAGCAGCTGTGGTTAAGAATCATCTGTCATATGAATTTTTACCATTCAAATCAGAGCTTTCTAGGAGAGCTCAAAGAGGATTTGAAAATGAAAATTGCGTGACATTTCATTCTTTTTTTTCAACCAGTTAAAATACAGTTAAAGCATCAACGCGTCTTGAATGTATTCAGCTAAACTGTGGGAACAACAGAAGGAGAGGGTAGAAACAAGGAAGCAGGCAGTTGAATAATTCCCCTTTGTTTTGGCGAATTAACCCTTTAAACCTCAAGTTTCTTGGTGCTTTTTGCTCCTATTTCTACTCACTGTGGGCTAATTTTTCACTGCAATATAAAATCCTACACCTCTATGGAAACAGCACAACCATGACTAGATGTAGAGGGAACTTAGAAATGTATTTTGTGCAGTATTACAAAGTTACAATGGTATAAATCATACAAAAATAGAGGGAAAAAGAACATTTATGTCTTTATTTTATATTTTACAAATAAACAAAAACCTGGAATTACCATGTAAAGCTTTTTTTACCCCCAAAATGCATGTAAGTGTTGCCAATATTGGAAAAGAAGTGGTGACTCTTCATACTAGAGATAATTTACCACTTAAATTTAAATTTGTTTCCATACTTGTTTCATTCCTGCAGTTCAATCTAGTTCAGCTGAAACTTGTCAGAATTTGAGGCAAAGAGTTTAAAAAGTTTAATAGAATTTTAAAGGTTTAATTAAGTTTAGCTGAAAAATATAACTGGCCATGATCTGAAACCTATTAGCCCAGGTCTAAATAAAGTCCTTATGCTGTTATAGGACACAGGTCAGGTTTGGATAGTCAAGGATACGATCATTTCCTTTGAACAGCGGCTTCCCCAGCAGCATCTCCGCCATGATGCAACCTGCCGACCAGATGTCCACTGCAACACAAAGCCAAACATCGTCTTCATGAAACAGGTCTCGCTGGCGTTTCACTGCACTTCCATGAAGACTGAGAGTTTTACCAGTTTGCGTGTAGTGCATCCAGTTGAGGATAACCTCGGGGGCTCTGTACCAGCGTGTCACCACATAACCGGTCATCTCCGCGTCAGCCTGCCTCGCCAGGCCGAAGTCAAGGATCTGAGTGAAAGGCAAGAACTGTAGCTTACAAATGTGTAGACAGCTTGAATCAAGACAGCTTTATGGGATGCTGGGTTACCTTTAATTCGCAGTCTGGATTGATGGCTAAGTTTCCAGGTTTGAGGTCCTGTGGGGAAACAGATAAAGTAAATTATAGTGATACATTAATATTATTTTAAATCCCTACATTTTAATCAGGGAGGTCTCGAGCCCAAACCAAAGATCGGAGCTTACTACAGGGCTTGAGAAGTGATCGGTTTCAACATAAACCTATACCTGAGCCTTTGTTGCATCTGCAAAAATAGATGCTAGAAGATGCTACACTGGGATGTAGAATTTCTGTTCTAAACTATCCCAGTTGATTTTAACACTTGTTTGCTGGTCTGATGTCAGTAAATCTCATGAAAGTCTTTGTCACGCTGCTCCTTTACTACCTAAACTCCTATTGTGCCGACACAGAAGTGCCGACTTCCTCTGGTCAAACCAGTATTAAACTAATGGCAGAATGAGGGACTACAGCTTAACTACAATACTTGTACTGTGTGTATTATCTACGAAAATGGTGTCGGCCGACAATTGCTAGATATTAAATGACTTGGAGTTGATCGCGAGAAAAAAACAACAAAACAAAACAAAAACCCAGATTGGGACGAACCTAATTTTAATCCTTTCTGTCAACAGTTTTGCCTCCTGAGACACTTGGGAAATCTGGATCCCAAAACTTTGACTGAAAGGCTGCTGCTGATAACAAGTGATCAGCGTTTGCGTAAACTTAAACTGGATTCTTTGCTTGCGTTTGTTTACATGCGGACGGATGAGAAACAGCCACATAAAACAGCTTAAGATGTTGGGTCACTGTCTGAAGTTTGCTCAACATTAGTTCGCTGGCCTGTCACGGTGCTCCTTTACTAGCTAAACCCCACAATGCTTAGTAAGAGGCTCCACCTGGTGGCACAAACAGGTACTACAGCTAATCTCCAATACTTAAAGTGTATATTATTAAATGGCTCCAATCGGATCGAGAGCTAAACAAAAAAATAATAATAATTGATCAGGACATCTTTAATTTTAATCCCACCAATTCAAGAGTTTTGCCTTGGGAATTCTGCATCCCTGAACTTTGACTGAATGGCTGCAGGGCTCGCAAACAACATGACAAAGTTCAGGGATCCAGAATTCCCATTTTGAGAATCAACTGATGTATTCTCTGCTGTGATAGGACGTCAACAGATTGGGGTTAAAACCAAAGAAAGACGTCTACATACAGACATATTTCAGTAACACGATCTAGCAGACGGCGTATCATCCTGTCTCAAGATAAAAACGACACAAATCCACACACACACACACATTTGCAAAGCTCCCTGTGTGGGAATCGGCATGAATGGGATTTAGTGTGGAAAAATGTGAGAAACGGACCCCACCCCCAAAGCTCATAGTCTGAGAGGTGAAAGTTCACGCACCCTGTGGATGATCCCTGCCGAGTGGATGTACTGCAGGAGAAAGAAGACAGCGTCAGCTCTGCTCACAACTTTCTTTTGAAACATTCTGGAGAAACCGCATCTCTTTTCCCTTCACCTTGAGCCCTTTGAGCATCTGGTAGACGAGGAACTGCACCCGGTCTTCCGTCAGTCTCTCCATTTTCATGAGCTTGCCGAGGTCGGTGCCCATGAACGGCATCACCAGGTAGCTGTGGGGGGGCGAAGAGAGGAGCGTGATCCAAACCAACCATCTGCTTTAAAGAACAAGTGTTTAGGAACGCAGAGGAAACTCACAAGTCACGAAACCGGTCCAGGGAGATCTCAGCGGTGAAAACATCCAACAATCCAATCACCTTAAAAGGAGCCAATGAGGAGAGATAAAGGGGAAATTAGAATCTGATTGGTTTTGCTTGTAGGTTCGGAGCATCTGCTGCTTTCTTACATTTTCGTGCTTCATGTGTTTGAGGAGTCGCAGCTCCCTGTAGGCCCTTTTGGCGAAAAGCTTGGACTGGAAGGGCCGGTGTAGCTTCTTGATGGCCACCTGGGTCCCTGTCCGGCGGTCCCATGCTGAACTGGGATACAAACATGCACTCAGTGCTGGAAAACAATCGAGAATAGAGCAAAACACCTTTCCCCAGAACAGAAATGTGATATGTTTATAAGGAACTCCACTGAATGAGGTGGTTAAGGTTCCACCTGTGTCCTTCCTGCTATGATACAATGTGTGCCGGGGAGAGAAAAGGCACATTTGTGTGATAGGAGACAAAGTGGTAGTGTTGCTTTCAATGCACTTAACTCGAGCTCTTTGACTTCTCCTAACAATGAGATTGGGGGGTGGTGGTCTTTGTTGACCCTCAGCCACACAACACAATGCAAAGAGGGGCCCTGCAGAGCCAGCTGTGCAGACTGCTGACCAAAATATACAACCAGGTACTGCTGCTGGGAGCGAAAGTAGAAGTAACGGAGAACTCTATCCGAGTAAAAACAGGCAAATTATGCACTTTTTGTTCGTCTTTTTTGTGCGTAAAATGCAAATATAGTGTTTGTAGCCTCTCAGAAGACAACAAAAAGTGTGTTTTTATTTCGTAAAACATGATTTGAATGTGTTAATATACAGAAACGCACATGGAATAAGATATCTGAGCTGTACAGTTCGTGCACTCACCACACAGTCCCGTACGCTCCGGTTCCGACCTGCTTCATGTCCCGGTATCTCTCCGGCACCTCCCACACGGTTCTGTTCACCTCCTGCCGGTAGAATCCCGTCCTGGACCGCACAGCCATTGCCCTACCGACGAGACGAGGCTGAGGTCGGTCCGCGGGTTTCTGCTCTCATGCGAACAAGTTAAAGTTTGTTAAACGCGCAGGACGCACCGTGCGCTCCGCACTCCGGAGTCTCCAGATGAACCAGCAGTTGTGCGCAACGCAGCGACGCCGGTTTCACCCCCAACACACAACACACACGCGCGCGCACACACACACACACACGCACACACACGTACGCACACACCCACACCCACACACACACACACACACACACACACACACACATTGTTGGTCGCTCAGGGCAGTCTATGGGTGTGTCTACAATGTGGGGCAAACAGCCACAAAACATCTGCCCACCCTGAGGTGTGAGGTTACAACTGCTGCTACAGTCTGATGCTGTTTCTGTAGAACCACTGCAGAGTTAACTTCACCCTGATGTCCATCACTGTCTGAGTCCAATAATCCTAATTAATCTGATCATATCTAATTTACTAAAAGGTTTCAGGATTTTGAATATATAGCCTAATGCTGTGTTCAGTTCATACTATATGGTGTAATACAATGTCCTGCAATATACCTGCTACACAGTAACCTATGCTTTACTTTATGACACTATTTTATACTATACAAGGCTGTCCTGTGTTATTCACTGCTATATACTACATTATTAGTGTTATAGTGTTGTGTGATACCATACTAAACTATGTTGTGCAATACTATACTATTATATAATATTACCAGTACCTCACTATACTATACTATACTACACTAACATTTTAACATTTAATACTGTACTAAACTGTACAGTACCATATATGCTTTGCTATACTATGATAATCTATACTACACTATACTATGCTGCATTCTACTCTACTATGCTATGCTATGCTATAGCATACTATGATGCACTTTACTTCATTATACTATACTATACTATACTATACTATACTATGTGATAGTATGCTGTGTTATGCTGTACTATGCTATACAGACTACACTATACGATGCTGCACTCTACTATACTATACTAAACTGTACTACACTATACTCTGCTGTACTCTATTATACAATACTATAATATTGCTATTACCACTGTACAATACTATACTATGCTATGGTACTATATACTGTACTATTACTAGTACTATACTAAACTGTATCACACTGTACTGTGCTCTACTATATTACATAATACTATACTATTAATAATACTATGCTATATTATACTATACCACACTATACCATAGTGTAATATTAGTAGCATTTTGCTGCACCATAGTATACTAGACTATGCTATTCAATGTAAATAATATTACTTGTACTATACTGTACTTCACTATACTACATGATACTATGAGAAACCTTAGCTCCTGGATTCATGTGATGTTGCTTTTACACCTACCTAATCATTGTTGCAGACCACATACACCTCGTCAAGGCTGTTCCTTGATGCCATTGTCCAAGGAAGTCCGATCTACGGAGGCCTCACTTCACAACCACTAAAGGATCTGCACCTGATACCACGGGTTACCGCCACACGTCTGTGGGGTCAAGGCCTCGACGGGTTGGAGCTGTTTTGGTGGCACAAGTTTGTTGTGAGTACTTTGCTGTTACTACTTTGCTGTTATAGTAGAAGGTTTTCCCTTTAAAGAGGCTCTCCAGAAGATTCTACCTGCCTGCAGACCTTGCATAATGTCAGACACTGATGTTGCATGAGGCTTGGTTCCACTTACTCGTGTAGTTCATGCTGTTGAGGTCAGGACTATATGAATGGCAAAATCATTATGGATTAGGCTTTGTGCATGTGGACATTATTATGCTGAACCAGAAAAGGTCTTCCCCTGACCCCTGCTATACAGTTGAAGGTACTCTATACCATCAAAAAGATCATTGTGTGCTGTAGCATTGAATTTCTCTTAAGTGGAATGAAGTGATCTATTCCAAAACAGCAACAAACAAACCTGGAAATCCCTGTTTCCATTTCATTACCTATACAGACTATCTGAGTACTGAATGGTGCAGAGAACATGTAGGACAAAAGAACATGGTGGCAAACAGAAATGATGTTTATTCTGTCGAAGCCAAAACTTGCCAAGTCATGTTACCTGCTGAGGAATGAGAAGAAAAAAAAAATCATCTGGATCATTTGCAAAGTGAGAGCTGACATTCATTTTTAGTGAAAACTGAAAACGGCTACGGCTGAATCACATGCCACCATGTATTCAAAAGTCACCTCTAACTTGTAACATACATACGTACAGTATACATATACATTCAGTTTGCAGTTGCTATTCAAATCCACCACGTGTACAACATCCACAGAAGCACAGAACACTTTGAACATTCAGAGCTCGAACACGCTTTGACTGAGACACACTGCTTCGACTCGTTTGGACTGTAAATTCAACGGTTTGCATCCAGCGTCAGTGAACAACTTGCACAACAGGCTACATGTAGCGCTCCAGTGTGATCCAATATGGAAAAGACAGTTCATTTCCTCTCCCGTGCTCCTCAGAAAATGATTCCTAAATGGTAAATTGAAGTGTTGGTTGTGTTAATGTTTCCGTGAGGCAGAAATAATCTCCACTGGCTGAGTTAAACTGGAGCGGACGGAGCCACAGAACACAGTTTAGCATAGCTAGCGTCATACGTTTATCTCCCAAAATACGCCCGATACTGAACTTTATTTCTGATAGCTGCAGCCTTAAATCACAAAATCATGTTTGTATTCCATTCTGTACTCGTACTACTATATTAGTATTACAACTGATTTAAACCTCGCAGGAGTTTAGCCTTGCTAGCTAGCTTAGCTAAAGTTTGAGCTTCACTGTAGCGCTTTAGCTAACCTAGTGCACTATTTAATTGGCATTTGAGGGTCAGTTAAGCAAACTAATTTTCATAAAAAGGTTTAAATGGCTTTACAAAGAGTTGGAAAAGGTACTCAGATCTTGTACTCATGTAAAAGTACCAACACTAGAAGTATAGCCTTGAAGTATTAGCATCAAAATTTACTTAAATAACCAAAAGTATTTCCCATGTAGGAGCCATAATCCACAAAACTGTTCATTCTATTATTCGACTGTGATTAATGATTCATTAATGTGCTTATTACGTTAATGTTGAAGCTGGTAAAGGTGATTTATATATTTTATATAGTTTATCTGATAGGTAGCTTGTAAATTGCCCCTCAGGGATCAATAAAGTTTTTTAGGAATCTTTAATATGACATCATAATGTACTGTTGATTACATCTGTGCTTAAATAAATGTGCAAAATAACTAAAATAAATGTCGTGGAGCAAAATATACAATATTTGCCTCTGAATTGTAGTTGACTGCAAGTGTAAAGTATCAGAAAATAGAAATACTTCAATACGAGTAGTATAACTTAAAACTGTTCATGAATACAGTATTTTCTACCACTGGCTTTACACCAGTAGCATCCAACATGTGTCTAGATACAGACACTCAGATTGAGTTTAACATTCATCGGCAGCAGTAATATATGTGATATATAAACCAGCATCTGATTGATCAACATTTTATCCCCGAAAATGTCCGCTGGCTTTACTCTTCTTCCTGATCATCTTATATGTAGATAATTATACCTCTATTGAACTGGAGTGTCAGGCATGAGGTTTTATTTTTGAATTTTTCCCCCCACACAGTGGCACCACTTCTCCATTTATGCCTGGTAAAAGAATTCTCTTTATTGAGTAACTGAGGGCTTTGAATCACATGTTGCAGCCTTCTTGTCGTCTGATTTCCAAATTGGAGGACTTGTTTTTTAACTTTCTGGTTTTAGCGTTGGGAGGAACGCAGGTTTTCTATACTCTGTATTGTTCACACCTTGTAAACTGGGAACTAGTTGAGTAGAGGGAACTGATCTGTGGCTGTTCAGCTGCACTGGATGGACATTGAATAAAAGCACACATGCTCTGAGGCCGAAAACGTCCCTGTGCTGTTACTAACCCAAGACCTGAATTAAACTCAGCAAAATAATAGCGATCGCTACCAGCGCTACAGTAGTTTCCACATCTTCACTGACCCTTAGCATCACACTGGTTTGTTGGCTCTGCACACTGTGGTTTAACACAACCAGAGGATTTCTACCTCAGCAAAAAAAAAAAAAAAAAAATGTTTGTAGAACTAAAAAAACTCCAGTCTGCAGCAAAATCAATGACACATCAGTGGGGAAGTCAGCCATTTGACGCAATGATCCGCATTTGCATTGAGCTCGTGCTTCTCGGGGCGTTGCGTAACATGATTCGGGCTACGCTAATGTTGCACTAAGCTGTAAACTGCAGCTGGAATATACGCATTCGAGGTAAAGCACACGGCCAGTTGCTGTAATCCTGCGCTCAGTAATGAACGTGTGCAGTCTGGATGGGTTTTTTTCTTTTATAATAAACTAAACAAATACCATGAAAATAAAGAATGAGCTCCCTGGAAGCTGCAAGCAGCCAAATATTGCTGCTCGGTGTGAATCATCAGCCTGTGTGATGTTTGACCTGTCGCTGCATGGACGGAGCTACAAGTTGTATAACAGATTATTACCCGGCATTGTTACGCAGCTTCTTGGTGGTGGTGGGGGGGGATAGTTTCTGAGAGTTTACAAAATGTCTGTAATTATTGTAAACACAAACAGGGGCCTGTACTAAGACACAGCAGAGGAGTACGGAAACCCGATGGAGCGGCGCCAAAGCCAACCGGAGATCCGCAATCAGCCATCAGCGGAAACCGTATATGAGAAGCGAGGCCTCACTGTAAACACAGACCTGCAGCACAGTCACTCTGTTCCAGCTTTGGCGTATATTAATTACTTGCTAATTAATAGCACAGTTGGTGTTTACGATTCTGTAAGCAGGAGAGGATGAGTTTCATCCACGGAAGAACAGTAGCTAGTGTTTAATGGAAAGTATAAAGACAGAACAGGTTGGTCACATTTTCCTGGTGATGCCTCTTTCGCGCCCTCTGACTGGTTGGAAACCAGTGTCGCCAGACTCAGTACGCAGTCTCAATGGTTATAATACAGTACCAGTAATATGCTGTAACAATAAAATGCACATAAATCATGCATCAGTAGTATGCAGGCTAAATGCGAAGCTCTTCTGTGACGTGAAATGACACTGCTGCAAGCCTTTAAACATGAATTCCATATATGAAAAGCATCACGGCATTCGTCCGGATGGGGGATGAGACAGCGTTCCTGTCGTTGCTTTGGAAATCCTAGTGTGCATTTTTTTTTTTCTTTCCTTCCTTTGATAACTTACTGTCAGTCTGTAAACAGTTCAGTTGCTTAAAGTTGCTCCCTGGTATGAATCCTCACGCCCTCTGCGATCCCTGATGGCTCCTCATTTCCCCCCCTCGGTGAGCAGAGACATAAAAGGAGGCAACTTTCCTCGCCGGAGAGATCCTTTTTTTTTTTTATTTGACTCTAAAATACTCCCTGTAATTGTAATGTGTGCATCTGATCCCACCGAGACCGTCCTGCCCTTTGCTGCTCGGACAAACTCCCGACAGCCAGTCAGTCGCTTCCTTCAGTTGCTTCTCCCAAGTCTTTCTCGCATCCGTTGGTCCTTCTTCAGGTGGAGGATGAGGCAGAGCAGCAGACCTACTGCTCCACCTGAAGGCTGTCGGTCTTGCTGCCAGGTGCTTTGAAGCTGCTCACCTCTTCAAAGACCAACTCTGGACACACATGAAACGAGAAGAAGCCATGTTATGTGCTGCCGATTCGGATTTAAATCATGTAAAGTTGGAGAACAGTGAAACGGCAAAATCGCCTCCTTACATAATATAGTATACATACTGTAAGGCATCAAAGAAACTCTAAATTAAGATGCAAAATCATCTTCTGTGACTCATATCAGCTCTGGGGCATTTCACACGCAGTAAAACTCCCCGCTGAGCTAAATCATATTCATGATGTTATAAATGACATCTCTAAATATCTCAAAACCCATATTACTTTAGCAGTGCAGCCAGCGTTCCCGCAACACCCAGGCAAGCTTAAATTCATCATTGCATAATCCCCAAAGTGAAAAGCTCTGCTTGTTCTCACTTCCTTTTACAGCCAATCTCAACAGGGTTGTTTTTGACTCGCAGAGGAGGAAGTTATACAGACCGACGCCACAGATCTGATAAATGCCTCAAATATAGTCGTGTTTTGCTCGTCGTCTAACGAGGACCACAGTGGAGTTACAGGTGCAATGCAAATATAGCACTAATAAAGCAGCAAAGAAAGAACTATGTGAAATGTAGAGATATAGTGGAGTGATGGCATCCTGAGCAGAGAATAAATCCCCTTGTGCTCGTTGTAACCCCAAGCCTCTCTATTACTGTTCTGTCCAATGTCAGAAGAGGACCTAAAGCCAGACACAGGAGTCAGGTTACTAATACAAAAGGCGAGTTTTAATTACCATATAGTGAACAGAGTCCAGAAGGTTTTAACGAACAATACAGTTACTTTTTTGTTGGCTCTCATGTACACAATCTGCCTGGTTGTAAATTAACCATGATGGTAGAGGGTGTGCCTGTTTGTTTTAGGCTGAGATGCTGGTGGTTCTGATTGTTGCTTACAGAAATGTTGATAGTTTTAAGTGACATTTTATTGTAGTATCCGCTGGTAGCCGTTTTGAATCATCCATCCACCCATTTTGTCGCTTAATCTGGATTGAATCATGATGGCAGCAGCCTCGATAGGATCCAAAGGCGTTCACAGGCCAGATGAGATATATAATCCCTCCAGTGGCTTCTGGGTCTACCCTCGGTTCTCCTCCGAGTTGAACCTGAACTATCTCACCTGGTTTCTTTCAAATCAAAAGAACAGCGACTCTACTCTTTGCCCTACCTCTAAGGTTGACCCAGCCACCCTACCGACATAAGTCCTTTCAGCCACTTGTATCTGCGATCTTATTCTTCAGTCACGATCAAAAGCTCGTGACCATAGGTGAGGGTTGAAATGAAGACCAACTGGTGAATTTAGGTCTGACTCAGCTACATCTGGACCGTCGTTTTGACATGTACTCATCAGCTACCAAAGTAAGCTTTACCTTTCCATTCCTCTAGAGTTCGGTCTTTGCTCTCCAGCGTTTGGTCGTAAGGCGGGGCCTCTGGCTCGTCGTCCGGATCGTGGTACTGTGAGAAGTAGGGATGGGACAGAGCCTCACTGGCCGAGATCCTCCCATCGCAGTCCAGAACCAGCATTCGCTTCAATAGATCAACGGCTGACGGGGAGACAGAAACAAACACACATCGGTGAAAGAGGAACTGGACATGTTCCGAGGTTGGAGACAAAAAGGCTAAACCTCTAAATGAATTTCAAATTCTCAGTGTGGAGAGAGCAACTTGAGTCTTTGCAGACTCTCAGCGGCTCTCAATTGGATTGAAGGAGTTGATAATCCAATCTGTGGTGCATCACCCACCTAGTGGATTCGCTCCTCTAAAGATCTTTTCCAGGTCTTGTTGGGGCATGAAGGGCAGAGACTGGATGTACTTCTGCGCCTGCAAATAGAGACCAGCGTTCAGCTCACGGCAATGCTGATCACATGATGTCAGTTAGTGATCAATCACCCGCAACACTCTCACATATTGACCATTCAATCAGCAGCCGTGTCAGTGCAATGACTAATCAATCATGAGAGGCTGCTTTCGTCAGTGGAGGCAACACCATATCACTTTCCCAGTCCCCTTCTTCCCTTCCTCACATGTTCAGAGCAGATCTTCTTCAGCAGGTCTGGCGTCGGAGTCCCAACCACCTCCATGATTCTCTTCAGCTGGTCAATATCTTCGAGCAGGAGGAGTTAAAGACCATTAAGATTTGTGAGACGTCATCAACTTGCAAACCTGACTCATTACGGCGTCCCGTCACACACCGAGACGGAGCATCGCCGAAAGTCAGCTGTTCTGTTTTTACGCATCAGAAGTCTCACAAAGATCAGTAAATCAAATTCGTTTTAGCTCTGCACTTGGACACTGAATACAACACCCTCGATAATTCAGCCTTTTGTGGTCGCTCCCATTCATTCTCCAGTTGCTCTCTGTTGATGCAACTCCCCCTCAGAGGAGGCCTGGGATTGTAATGCAAATCCACAAGAGGTCTGCATCCATGCGGCACTTTAAAGAGGTAATGGAAGGCTCCTGCTAAGAGAGGGGGAAAGAGCTGCAAATTGCAGTGGACTCATGCCATGGCGATAAAGGATACAGTCAGTGCCAGGAAAAAGGACTTTTCCCTTCAGCAGCTCTCCCATAATGCATCCCACTGACCAGATATCAACTGGAACAGGAAACAGCAGAGGTTTAATCGTTGATGACTGTATTGCTTCCAAAGAAAACAAGACATGCCTCTAATTTGGTGGCATCTTACCGTTCTGATTGTAGTGCATCCAGTTCAGCATGATCTCCGGCGCGCGATACCATCGAGTCGCCACGTAACCCGTCATCTCATCATCCGTCTGCCTGGCCAATCCAAAGTCAAGGATCTGTCGGACAGGTGGACAGTTTTTCTAAGCGATGGCGTTAATGGGATGGGGTGAAGGACTCTCAGCTATGAACTGAAGGACAGTCTTACCCTCAACTCGCAGTCCTCATTTACTGCCACATTACTTGGCTTGAGGTCCTGGGAGGGATAGCAAAACAGACGGAGGCAGAGAAACAGGATTAGTATTCGGATGCGTCTGCTTTAGTGCAAGTAAAATAGCAATTCCTGTGTTGGCTAAAACATTATTTAGAGTCTGGTAGCTGTGTCTGTTTCTTACTGGCTTTTGCATTAAAGGCAAAATGTGAAATATTTACTTTTTCACCCAACAGAAGTTCAAATAAAAGTGAAAAGTTTCAGTTTTTCCAACTCAAAAGCATTATTTAAAGCTGCAGTGTGCACCTACATCAAGGCTATGTGTTCTTCTATAGGCTTCCTTCAGGATTTCCGTCTTTCAGATTGCTAGTTCTCCTTTTATTGGATTATCTCGTGTTTTCTGAGACGCAAGCTTGGCTGACTCTTTCACTCGCGGTGAAATGTGAACGGAGTCTTGGATATGAATATTTGAATATTTTACTCAGTGTAAACATCACATTTACAGCTTTAGAGAAGAGCTGGAACAAGCGGATACAGAATATATGAATATATGTCATAAGATGGCAGACAGGGTGAAATGAGGCGATTTTTGTTTTGGCTCAATGTGGGCACATTTTCTTTACTCCAATATAAAGTCCTGTACCTCTATGGAAACAGTACAACCATGACAAGATGTTGAGAGAACTTAAAGATGTCTTATGTGCACTATGAGGCAGTTATCATGCCCCAAATCACAATTAAACACATTTGAATTTCTTTGGGTATTTATTTTACAAAAATGGAAAAACCTGAAATCAACATTTTCTTTTTCTTTTTTTTTTAAAGTGCCTACAAGTGTCACCAATATTAGAAAACATGGCAACTCTACATACTATAGACATTTTGCTCCTTACATGTGTCTCCATACCTTTCTCCTCGCTGCGTAAACACAGCCTGTAGTTCAGCCCAGTTCAGCTGAAAAGTTCCTGAATTTTTGTAAGAGTTACTAATGGTGTCACAGTGGCATCAAACAGTGCAGAATTTGTAGTTTTTACTGAGTCTGGTTAGTGCCAATCATTTAATGTTCAAGTTCACAAGACTGTAACTTCATGGAGAGCAGAATTTTTAGTTTTTTTTGCAGAATCTGGTTTTGCAAATGGTTTATTTTCGGCGAATACGGGATATGAAACAAAGGCAAAAGTGAGTTAAGGTGAATTTTTAAACCATGCCAGCGCAGCGATGTGCTCCAAGAGCCAAAACGACAAGAAGGGAAAAGAGGACGGCACTCACCCTGTGGATCAATCCTGCTGAATGGATGTACTGTTCGACAGGCGGTGGGGTGGGGCGGCAGGACGGGGGGGTGGAGGAGAGAGGGGACATAAAGGAGACGGAGGTCAACAGTGCAGTTCACCATATTAGCTCCTGCCTAAAGGGAGGCTGCTTTTGCCGGTCCCATGGTAACCGGGCAGCCGGACAGCCAGCCTCTGCAGGCTGCTGGACTGATTCAGCGTTGGCTGGCAAACGCTGGATGCAGTTCGAGCCACACAGAGCGTGGTGTCCAATCTGTTAGAAAACCTTGAGACAGGTGGTGCTTCTACCAACCGTGGTACACTAGAGTGATTCCAGCGCTTCAGTCCTAAGGGAATACGTTGAAAAAATGCAGCTTGGGTTTAATTTTGTGATATAGAGACGATGCAGTGTCTGTAAATTTATGACATTTAATATAATCCCAATAGAGAGCGTGAAACTTATACACTGCATAGAGTTTATAGCTCTTGTTACCTACTTTCAGCTCTTGTTCCTTTATTGGGTTTTTTCCATAAACATCGCAGTCTAAATAAGCAGCTTCTATACCCTTGAAAGCACAACGAAATACTCGTAAGAAAATACATTAATTGTGATGCATGAGGAAGAAAAAGCTACGTCCAGCTAAAAGTGGCGACAGCCTTTAGTTTGCTTCTAACTCCACTTTAGATATCTGCAGTTGATTTGATTCCAGTAATGTGTTCAGAGTTGACAGCCTTAATGGAGAAAGCTGATTGTCGATCATAGACTGTATAAAAGATGGACGTAGCAACCAGCCCTGAAAAATGAACCCAACCCGTAAGTGTCAAAAACCTGCAATATCACTACGTCCACTAGTCCTGGCTCCAAAAAGCCCTGGCTCCCATAGACTTAAATTGGAAAAGAAGTGATGATAGATCATGAAATACTGCATTCCTACAGCTCAGGATTTTTTTCTTATTAGTTTTCATGGTCAAATCCAGAGATCAGGTGGCCAATCTGAAAATAAATCAATACTGAATTTTTAAAAAATCGTCAACATGTTGCGGGGCAAGGGGCGTGGCTGGCTTGATTGACAGTCGGCAGCGACGATGCAGACGAAGAGAGCAGAAGGCGGTAAATGTGGGCGGGCAGAGAGGGCCCGCCTCTCAATCCGTCTGACCAATCGCTGCTCCTATGGCTCCGCCCCCCTCCGACGATTTTTGCCTCACTGGCTCCAAAAATCCAAGATGTCAACCAGGAAGTAGCAAAACCCTGGCTTCATTTTCTCAGTGCAGAAACCAACGGGTGACATCACGGTAGCTACATCCATCTTTTATACAGTCTATGTTGTCGATGTGGTGTTTTACAGATGCCATTCAACATGCTCCCAGTTACCCTGTTACGGTCTTGATTTAGAATATATGTTGAAAAACTGCTTGCAACTCGTCAGCAAGCCAAGCAGAGATGTCCAAAGAGTTAGCTGGATGAATTGTTCAAATCACAACTAAAGGTAACCAGTTAAAAGTCATCGTTAAAAGTAAGGACGAAAACCTTCACATACAGTTTACAGCAGAAAGGAGTACTTCAGTGTAGGATATTAGCTAAATGTCAATTTTTTTTTCAGTTCACTCCTACAAACAATCAAACACAAATACTTTAGAAAGACTATTTGAAAATGAAGTTGCATCCAGCATGTTTGGTATGAACCTGGCCAGGACCACCACAGTGACTGCACAGTCCTGACAGTGAAGCACGGAGGTAGAAAGGCGATGATATGGGGCTGTTTGAGTGCAATCGGTGCTGGGGAGATGGCATTTATAGACGGAACCCTGAACGTCTGTAGATTTACTGAAATAATTGGTTGAATTTGTGCCTCGCTGTCTGCAGAAGCTTGGCAGAGGAGGAATATTCCAGCACGATAATGATCCAAAGCACTCTGCCAAAATCACACAAGAGTTTCTAAAGGACAAAAAAAATTGTATTTTAAAAAGAAAATAGAGAGCATTCAATAGACTCCAGCGAAGAGCGGCTGGGGAAGAAAAATAGTCTAAGAAGAAAAGCAGAGCGTAAAATTTGGTGTCTTACAGTCTCATCGAAGATAAAGACGGGAATACAAAATATTGAAAGCATTATATTTCGCTCCTACAGTGAGGCCTGTATTTTTTAATACAGTAAATCTAAACTGTTAGATTTTCTTTTTACGTCAAAGAAGATACTCCAGTGGCCAACTTAGAAGTGATTCAGCTACTAAAAGATGACACAGCGTTGAATCATTTGACATTTAGGGGATGTTGCAGAGGACTCGTTTCTGTGGGATACTGCAGCAAATGCTTAATGAATGAGTTCATTTAAAATACCAGAGAAGTAAAAAAACCTGAAGCGCCGACGGTTCATCAGGCCACCATTCAGCGTGTTCGATGCATAGCTCATCAGAGGTAGTGCACACTGTGTGATATGGGCGTTGCATTGACTGCGGCGTGCAGCAGATGTGCATCGTGATGCGCTGAATTACCTTGAGGCCACGGAGGAGCTGGTAAATTAAGAACTGCACGTGCTCGTCTGACAACCTCTGAAATTTGACGATGTTATTGAGGTCTGCGCCCATCAGGTTAGTCACCAGGTAGCTGCAAAGGAGGAGACGGCGTATAAATATATATATGAGTGAACGGGGGGGGGTTTTAGTAAGAGGAGAACATGATGACGCTGCCATGGCAACCATCAGACATCTCTACAAGCCTGCGATCCCCCCCGGGATCCCTCCATCACCGTGCCCTCTATTAGCAGAATTATCTGTTGTTGTTTTTTTTTTGTCTTTCTGTGACAGTTTGTAGTAAAAGATTTACAGCTCGTTGAAGTCTTCTAACGTCGCAGCAGGTGTGAAGACGTCCAGCAGCCCTATTACCTGCAGAGGCAGACACAGAAAACAAGCAGAGCCGATCAATACGAGAGCGGAAGCACGCAGAGAAAGCTGCGTCCGTCTGTCTCGGGGTATATTTATAAGGAGCACTAACATTCTCGTGTTTCATGTGCTTGAGCAGCCTGAGTTCCCGGTACGAGCGGCGGCTGTGGATCAGGGACTGAAAGGGCCTGGACAGCTTCTTCACCGCGACCTTCTGCCTCAAGACCACATCGTACGCCGAGCTGGATGGGAAAAAAAAAGAGAGAGGAAACACAGCACCGGTTAATGCCGAGCTACTCCTTTACACCTGCTATCGGCTCCAGATGAGATTGTGTCGACATAACAGGGATTAATGTTTGAGAGCAGAAAAAAAGGAGCGAGCCGGGGCCGACGGAGACGAGCAGGGAGAGAAAGAGGATGTGGTGGAACAAGAGAAGTGAGGATGTCAGTTATTGTAAAAGTGCCAGCGGGGCCTGTTTTCATCTGCCTCTTTTGAAATGTAAATGTCATTCCACGTATCGAACGCCGAGCCCTGCCGCGGCTGCCTTTTGTGCTGCCAGCGTCTTTTCAGCCGAGCTTTTGCAGCAAACTCGAAGAAATAATAACAACAATAATAATAATAATAATACAGCCATCAGAGAGCACGCAAATAGGAAGGAAACAACCAAGACTGCAAAGCACTGCAGAAATAGAGCAATGAGTAAGAAGTGAAACAAGGGGAAAAGTGGAAGAAGAGGAAGCACTGAAAAGGGTTTTGCTGCACATGTAGAACTGGCTCATTTGGCTCTTTATTATGTGGCTTCTACCATTAGTTAGCTCAAAGAAACCCCCCGTCTTCTTTACTCTTGAATTTCTCTTTAATATAATATGTAGTACGTCTCATTACTTTTTAATAAGCTTTCCTAGATTTCAAAGCACCAGAATCTGCAGCAAAAACCTAAACTTAGCTTTGAGACGAGGGTTCAGTGGTTCTCACTGTATTTAAGTCGCACCTGCTCTCTCAAAGCCCAACATGTCTTTGCTGCACAACACTCTGATCGATTGACCGATACGATAAAGTACAAAAAAGTAAAACCTCTGCTGTTTTAATGGACACAATAACCGAACAAAAATACCTGTTGTTGCTTAATCTGGTGAAGTGAACCAATCCAGTCCTCAAACTTGACACAGCTTTGGATGTAAATACAATGAATAGTTTAATATTTTGGGTTTTACACATTGACGAGCCATCATGACGCCACCAACTGCTTTGTGTACGACTGTTTTAAAGACATAAAACATAGTCTTCTTTATCATGTATTTTACTCTAAAGGGGATCATAAATTACAAAATGAACATCATGCTGTATTGAAGGAGACTTGAAACTAACAGTTAAGACCATAAACTCAGTGGAAAACGTTTAGAGAGGTAATAAATCAAGTGACAAATTGGGTCACTTTCTCACAGAGGAGTCAACCAGGGGAGTCGCCCCCCGCTGGCTGCTAGACACAATGCAGGTTTAAGGCTTTTCTCCGCTGGTTTAGACCAACAAGCAACGTCCATCTTTTATGAACAATCTCTGGATACACTCCTATTAAATAACACTCTTATTTGTCTCATTTTAGTCTGACTCACTGCATGCAGACCTCCAAATTTTCCTCATGCATTTTAAGCAGCTTTTTTGCTACCCGCGTTGCATAACTGTTTTCAAAATCAGGAAGCAACAGCAACAACCTCCAAACAGCAACCTACACGCTGGCAACAGCAAGTTTTAGAGAAGTTTTGCTTGCTTTGTTCTTCCAGCTCTTCCAAATTAACCATTTTAATGACTCCAGTCGCCTCCCTGCATGCAAACGTTTCACCAAACCGATTCCCCAATTCACTATTTTACAGGGGCACCATCACTGCATCCTGGGCTGAACACCGCCCAAGTTTAAAGAAATACAGACAAGACAGAGTGGGGTTTTTCTCACCTATGGCAGTAAGACCAAGCTTTTGCACTAATGTAGGTCTGTGACTCTGCAAGACTAGTATTGTTGAAGCATCATGAGATTAGCTTAGCTTAGCATAAAGCCTGAAAACAGGGGGAAACACATTTAAAGCAAACTAAATAAAGCAGCATCTAGTTTAACCCCTGCAAAAAGTGAAAAAATTAGTGGTTTTACTTAGGCTATAACTAGGTATACGAGATTTAGAAATACTGGTATGTATATATCTTTACCTGCTGACCACCTCCTAACCTGGCTGCTTATTAACATTTAATGCACTGACAAGAGAGAGCCATATTAATCTCCTGAAGACAGCAGCGGAGTGAAAATGCTGAACCTTTAATTCCCCACATCTTTCTAATTTTAGTGCGAGCACGCCGCTGTGCAGTTAGAAAAATAAGTACAAAAGGGCCCCATGCAGTCTCAGAAACACAACCTAGTCATTACGCCATCAAAACAGTCTGAAAGGGACTTTCTTAAAAGACTCCTCTGATGTGAAGGAGCGCATTTTGCTCTTGGCAGCTTTATAAGTCTTTTTTTCTCCCCCCCCAAAAAAACTGCTAATTTCCAGTTCCCAGCAGGTACAGTCACCTTGAGACAATAGACGTTTCCTCTCAGCAGCCATTTTGACATGAACTGTTGTTAAACACGAGTGCTGGTACTGACAGTCGAGAGTCTCTGCTCTGTTCAGGGAATTAAATGTGATCGCTAACTCCAGTGTTTATCTCACATTTCCTGTCGAAATGGCTCCACCAAACGATGCATGTATCCTGTTTCTTCCACCGTATGAAACCCACCACAGTATCATATTTCGGTGACCTGTGTTCGATGTGCACACGCTTGAGTAAGCCGCACAGTCGAGTGCATCCATGTGGCTCTCTGTGTTCACCTGCTGCCAGTCCGGATGTCCCCGCCGGGCTTCGGCCGGGCCGGCAGCCGGTCGCCTCCATCTGACATGAACCAGGCCTCACTCCTCACACACTATTTACCTTCCCGCCTGCCATCTTCCATACATGGGTCTGACTGCTCTCGACGCGCCGCCGAGCCGAGGCATCGATTCCTCTCCTCTCCTTTTGTCTTTAATATCCCGGCTGCTGATGCACCTCGGATTACACAGAGGATTGGCCGTGAGAGCGAGATAACTCACTGTTTGTCCAGCGAGCAGGACTCTTCCTGTGTGCGTTTTCTGATCTTAACGTGATTAATTCAGATTAAATCAAAAGAAAGACCGAAATGATTTGCACATATTTCAAATGGATGGGATTGTGCTGCATGCCACTGCAGCTTTTTGCATTTGGAGGAAGTTTGGAATCTTTGTCGGTGAAAGTTCGATGACAAAACATCTGTGAGTGAAACATTTAGCAATAGCGAGTTAGCTAAGCTCAGCATACACTCCGGAAGTGGAGACAGAGCGAGGCCAACGTGGCAAAATCTACCTCCAGCACCTCTGAAGCTCACAAATAAACCCTTCACATGTTGTTTGTGTAGTTTATGCACAACTGATGTGTAAAACAGATGAATGATATGTAAGATCTGCCATTTGTCTGGAGATATTTATTTCTATAAATTACAAAAAAGCAAATATAGAACAAAAGTAAACAAGAAGCTGTTAAAAAAAAAAAAAAGTCTGAAATTTGGCCGAAGTTTTCCTTTAATTTTACAGATTTTTTGTCTGTATTTTTGAAATATGCGAATAAAATATGATGACTATATAAAGGCATAACATAAAATAACATTACAAAAACCTGCAACTGTTAATTACCGCAATTTTTTAAAATTTTCATTTCCGTAATATTTCCTTTTTATCAAATAGCAGTTTGTACAATTACACTATCTATCTATCTATCTATCTATCTATCTATCTATCTATCTATCTATCTATCTATCTATCTATCTATCGTAGGTAATTTCACAGTTTTATACATGTAAATATCCATTATTAAACATTAAAAAGGAAAAAAAAAGAAAAGAAAAAGACTAAAACACATTGTCATGTAAAATTAAGGCTAGAATATGAAATGCAGACTTCCTGTATTTCATCAGATGGCTGTTTCCTGTTATTTTGCAGCACGTTTTTATGTGCCAGTTGCAAAATGCCGCTTTCTACTCACACTGACTTTTACCAGGATGTAGCTGCTGCTTGTGAATCTTTTATTACTGGACAGACACAAAAGTGGTTTTGATCTAAACTGTCCAGGAAAAAGTTTGGACTACAACTAATAATCATTTTTACTGATTAATCTGCAGATTATTTGCTTAATTAGTCCAAGAAACTCCAGTTTAGCATCTTCAAATTTCCTTTTTTGTCTGAATAATCGTCCAAAACTGAAAGATATTCAGTTTATTATCAGATATGAGAAAGAAAAGCAGCAAATTAGTGAGATATGTTGGCACTGGATGTAATATTGTATGTTCCTAACCGTAATGTTTAAGTTAGTTACTTGTATAATTAGTAACATCGTCAGGTCTCGATTTAACATTTAAGCTTTAAATCTGTAACGTTCATCTCGTGTCTCTGTTGGAACGAGTTTCGGGTTAATGTTTGTTGTTTCACATCAAAACCGGTGACGTGACTTGATTTGATTTATTTCGGCACGATGCTGATTGTCAAAACAGTCGCTGATGATTTTATGTTAATTGACTGTTTCTGACAGTTTCTTAAAGCCCTTAATTGCCTCCATTACGCCCACAAGCACGCGTCTCCTCAACCAGTCGCACCATAACCGCCATCGATCCAAACGAGATCAGCGGCAGCAGCTCGCAACCACGCCGTGATTTTCTGCTCAATTTACCAAATTTCCGCTAACAATCCGACAGACAGAGACGCCGTGTTTGGCGACGGCGGAGAAAATGAAGCGATCATGTTTTATTCATCCAAAACCAGAGGCTCCGCGCCAAAGTTCTGGTTTACCGAACAGATGTTGCGTTCGCTGACGTGAGATGAAAGCGGCCTTGATCAGCCGAGCGCAAAATTCTCTCCTGATGTTCGGTCTGAATCCAAATTGTCCCGAGAAGCAGGACGGGGGACGTTCAACGGGATTATGGCTGAACGCCGAGACCGGATTAGAAACAGAATATGTCAAACTTCTCATGACATGTCAGAATTCAAGAGCAGCTGCACGCTAAATTATTAAACGAGCTTTGTATTTACGACGCCGCCTGCTCTGGCGTCTCCCCAGTCAGATCCTCTCTTACACCTTAATGTACTGTTCTCTTCCTAAACGCCATGTCCTTTGATTCCTCCTCTCCCAGCGGCGACGGGGGTAGAAGTTCTCCAGCTATAATGGATTATACGAGCTTGTCAGATCCCTGACCTGAGGCCGGCGGTCTCGGGAGGGTTCGTCTGGAGAACAAGCTGCTCGTTGGAGATAAATGAGGAGGGCCGGCGCTACCGAGCATCTCCAGAGGTAGCCTGTGAGAGGATCCTAACCCCCCATCAAGACACAACACGTACAGATGTCGAACCCCCTCGACTCCCATCCCCCTGCCGCTCGCTAATCAAGTCCTGCCATGAGAAAGTCGGCGACAATGGCCGCACATCAACATTAACAATGCGGGGAAGCGCTCGGCGGTCTGTGCAGGAATGTTCTTTGTGCATTTGTAGGATTTGGTATGAAAGTCTGAGCACTTCAACGCCGCTAGCATTCACACTTTGCCCGTCCAAAGATATGATATAACAGTTTAGTGTTAATAAGACAGGAGGAGGATAACACCTGCTACTTCCAGGAGTCGCTCAGCTAATGTGAAGAGAAATGTACAAAGCAGGATTTCATTTAGAGAAACGTACACATGAAGCCTGAACGCCATGTGTTGCCATTGAGCTTGTGTATATGTCTGGACAGGACAGCAGAGTATAGAGAGCTAGAAAGGGATATATGCCTAAAAAAAGACAGATAAAAATGGATGTAAGGCTGAAACAGAGCGCTTCAAAGGGGAAAATGGTTAAAATAGAGAGCAGCTACAAATGGAAAAATGGCTGGATATGGAAAGTAGCTGAAATAGGTTGCCAAAGGTGATGGATAAATAGCTAAACAGATAGCTCAATGGGATAAATGGCTAAAATGGAAAGCTAAAAAATGTCTCAGTGGCTAAAATAGCTAGCTTAAAATGGATAAATGGCTAAAGTAGAAGCTAAAACGATTAAATGGAAAAAATAGTTTGCTAAAAATGAATATATGGCAAAAATAAATCGCTAGAAATGGATAAATTGATAAAATAGATAGCTAGAAATTGATATATGGCTAAAATACATAGCTAGAAATGGATTTACGGCTAAAACACAATGGTGAAATGGCTAATTAGTTAGCAAAAACATAAATGCTACATTAGAAAGCTAAAAAAAATGTATATGTGGCTAAAATACATAGCTAGAAATGGATAAATGGCTCAGATGAATAGCTTAAAATCGATAAATGGCTTCAGTAGGAGCTAAAATAGATAAATGGCTGAAATACATAGCTAGAAATGGATATGTGGAAAAATTAGATGCTCAAGTAATGGATAAAAAGCCAAAAAAGATGGCTCCAAAATGGATAATGGCTACAACAGACACCCAGAAATGGATAAATGGCTAAAATGAATAGCTTAAAATGGACAAATAGACACTAGAAATGGTGGCATGGCTAAAATACATAGCTAGAAATGGATAAACAGCTAAAACAGATAGCTACAAATGGATATATGACTGAAATACAGAGGTAAAATGGCTAAACTAGTTCGCTAAAAAAATGAATAAATGGCTACAATAGACAGCTAAAATAGATAAATGGCTAACATAGATGGGTAAAAATGGAGAAATGGCTAAAATAGATAGTTTAAAAGGAATAAATTGCTACAATAAATAGCTCAAAAATGGATAAATGGTTAAAACAGACCGCTAAAATAAATAATTTGATTAAATAGTTAAGTAAAAGTAACAAGCCAGTTGGATAAAATGAATGTGTAAATGAATGGAATAGATCACGATAGCCTCATAAAATGAAATAGTGGTTGTATAAATGTACTATTTAATATAATACTGTACCTAAATGCAATATTTCAGTGTAAAAAAAAATGGATAAAAGTAACTGTTAAATGGTTGTAGTTTGGTAGTGAAGGGTTATAATATATTAAACTTAATATGGGGGCATGCTAGAGAATACAACAACAACTGACCTAAACATTCAACTGTCAGAAAAATACAACACCGTCAACTTTTATACTCGTGTGAAATGACATCCTGTTTATCTGCGGTGGTGTCGTCAGACAGGAAGAGCGTCGGGAACCACTGCTGAGCACAAACGTAAAAGCTCCTGAACGGTGCTGATCAGTGTTACATCACTCTCAATCGCTAATCTGTCTTCAAGGAGAGTCACTGAGCTGACTTCACTAATTAAGGCAGCCCATAAAATCATGATCACGCGATTATGAAATCAGAGAAGCCGTCTAGAAGCTGCTATTCAGAGCAATGGATGGCTATAAATAACAGCTCCAGCTCCGGTATTGAGGTTTCCATGTTTACTCGGGCTGACTGCACCTTCAGAAATCATGAGTAACCACTCCGAAACCCCTCGGGCAACATTTTTTCTTTTTTCTTTTTTTTTTCTGTCAACAAAGGCAGGATTCATGTTGAACGCTGGCTCTGATAATACTATCTCTGTTGCATGGGCGTCCAGAATGGGAAATCAAACCTTAAAGTTGGCAGATTTGGTGCGAATAATCTCCCAGAGGCTGAATGACACAGCTTAAGTCATGATCTTGTGCATTTTTTATTTTGAGGGGAACTTTATGGGCGAGATGGTTGAAAGCCCAAATCACGCAGCAGATCTCGTCATCTCTTGGTGTCTTAATTAACATCTGGAGATAAAACTGCTCTCTGACGATGCCTGGCTGTTGCAAAGTGGGGTGTGGCTGAACAGCTCTGTATCGTTTTCCTGCTGGATTATTTGCGGCTGACAATCCAATGTGATATCTTGGTTCTTCTGTGACCAAAAGATCTGACAGTGACACTAAGATGCAGCAAATTCTGGGTGCCTTAAAACTCCACAGCCTTGTCCAAACTGTCTCCTAAACAGCACAGAGCGAGAGAGCGCTCCGTCTGGAGAAACCCTTCATTCCCTTTGCTACAGAGCATCACAGCATTTGGACTTAGAGGATTTGGAAACTTAAATCCAAGAAAAGCTCACCGAAATTTTTTTTAGATTCCTCTCATTGTAGCCCAGAAAGGGTGATGGGCTCAGCCTTTTTTTTTTTTTACTGCTTCCCATAAAGCTTCTCCACTTTGGATGTACAAGCTGCTTTACAAGATTTGGCTGTTTGTGTCTGTATGTCAGTCAGTCTTCTGGCTACTTCCACCTTAATATTTACATCCGGATGCAACAAATCAGCTTGAACGTCTCGAAAATGTTGATTGCTCCTCTGGTAACCATTAATAGCTTAATTAGTGTTGACTTTTTAGAAGGAGGTGGCACGTCGCCATGGCAACGGCATCCCACCAGCAGATGCAGATTAAAGCAAATTTAAAGCAAACCACACAGGAGGACATAAACAAAGAAAAGAAGAAAAAAAAGGAGCAAAGTAGCACATATGATGCATACAGATTGTTGTTTTGCTTCTTTTTTTTCTCCAGATGTGGCATCCAGCTGCAGAGTTGCTGCTCAGACTGGTGTGTAGGGGGGGATGAGGGATGAGGAGGGGGTTATTTGGGAAATTCCTGCACTGAGGCTGTCTGAGTCTGTATTCTGCTGCCACACACACATCTATCTAGGAGCAGCAGACTGTGAGCTGAGGGATGAAAACAAGCCCTGCAGACCTGCCGTGTGCTCCCATATGGGTGACAGCACAAAAGAAAATCCTCTTCATCTGCACAATGAAGCAGGCGTCAATATTTATGTTGTGTTTCTGCAGAATGGCACAATTCTAAGACATATATAATAATAACAACACGCCTGTAATAAAAAACCACAGCTCCATCCTGACACATATTCATCGTGCATCATGCCCGGCTCAGCGGCGGCTGCTGTGGCCGCGCAGCCTCGCCCCTCCGCCCGCCCCGCACACTCACCACACCGAGCCGTAAGCTCCGGAGCCCACCGGCGTCAGGTTCTGGTACCGCTCCGGTACCTCCCACACTGTCTTGTTCAGCTCCTGCCGGTAAAATCCCGGTCTGGCGGACATTTCTACGAGCCGGCTACTGATTTAGAAAAAAAAAAAACAAGACGAGTGAGCAAGAAAC